GAGTTACTTTTAGAACATTCTGAACCAAACTGAGACAAATGCATCCTTCCCAGATTCGAACCTAAAAACAGCTGGAACATGGAGGCTTGGTAAGACATCATCGTGTTCGGTGTTATTTTTTTAACAAAACCCAACTTTCCAGTTCCACAGCTGTTTTGAAAATAGCACTGATAATAATTTTTGCTCCTATATCATATTTGTTACACTTTTCTAGTAGCTGACGGCAGCTGATCTGCTGTGTTTCCTGTGTAAACGAATGTGTTAGCAGAATACCCTACAGCTGTTAGAAAGAAAGGGGCGGGACTGATTACAACTCCAGATTTGATTGGTTAATCCAAACTTACAGAAGATTCTCATTTTTACGAGCTGTTAACAGGGATGTTTCAGTGTGTGTGTTTATATGTTTATCTTTTAGCAAAAATATCTCAAGAACCACATAAATGAATTTGAATAAAACTGGATGTAATCATATGGACACATCCAACTGACCATAAAACACGATTATTCAGTCAGTTTTGCAGATACTGACCTATGATTTAGCATTGCTGTTGCTGAGACTGTTCCCCAAAATGTACTCTGAGCTCTAACATATTATACAGTAGTTTTGCTTAAAAATTTGCAGTTAAATGCTTAAAGTCAACTGTCTGTTCGCAAAATATCTCACAAACAACTGGATATTTTTTTTACAAAACCTTCAGGAAACAATCAGTGGATTTACTTCAATAACTGAATAACTTTTAGAGTCAACCCCATTTAAGATGGTTGTCACAGCCAACTAAAAGAGCTGTAATTCAGACAAAATAACAGATTTTGTGCTCCAATTTGGTGTGGTAGTAGCTGAGAGTTATTCGCAACAAATAAGATAATTGCGCAAGATCTTTGCTTAAAACTTTACCGCTGGATATTTAATCACAGGAAATAATCACTGCATTTACTTCAATAACTGAATAACTTTTATCTCATGAACTGCTGGATACATTTTAGCTAAACTCACAGGAAGACTGCATTTACTTCAATAACTGAATAACTTTTATCTCATGAACTGCTGGATACATTTTAGCTAAACTCACAGGAAGTAATTATTTGATGTTCTTCTCCAATTATGTTTTGCATTTAACCCAATTAAAGATGGCTGCAACAGTTAATCTAATCACTTTAAAAGGTATTCCATTAAAGAATGCAGAAAACACATACAAAATAATCTGATTGGTTTATTTTCCCCTCCGGCATAAATCTATTTTAAGGTGAAATTCTCAGACAGAAAACATTGAAACAAGCCTGTRTCGCACCTCAGTGTTACAGACAAGTAAGCGGACTATTTTTAAATTTGTTTCCCTCCAGCCAAAGCGAAACATTTTTCTGCAGCGTGTTTGGTAAAACAATCAGCCAGCACACATCTGTCCCTGGCTGCACACTCTTCTTCTGAAGTAAGACAACACACGTCGCGACAAAGCGCACAATGAAGTGTTTAAGTCCATCAAACCACAGACTTTGGTGCAGCCGGTGAGGTGTTAAAGGCCAGGCGGGGGTCAGAAGCCCGGCCCACGGCATTCTCCGCCACGATACATCCCAACACACAGCCACCATATGTCTGGGGTTTCACGGTTAACGAGCCGGCCCACCCTGTGTGACAAAGATGTATTCACAGCCAGTTGACTCGGAGGAGATCTGCAACACTACGGTGCCGTTAGGACAGAATACAGCACTAGCCCCAGCCAGTGGCCATTTGGGAGCGACAATAACCCAGAACGAACGGAGGAATAAAAGGCGTGTTTAGTGTGTGTTGGGGGGGGAGATGGGATAGAGACAAAGAACTTTATGAAGCACTTTAAGGGGGATAAACGTAGGCATGATCTCGCCCTCAGCCTCCTCCAGTTCCATCGCTTGCCTCCATCAAAGCCCCCTGAGACTCTCGCAGCACACTCCGTCACTCACAACTCCTAATAAGGCCAACAGTAAACGGCAAGGGAAAGAAGAGAGAGAGAGAAATGCAAGGGATGAAAGCTACTTTTTATTGCTCCTGCTTTGAGGAAGTGTTTCAGGTTGTCAGGGGGAAGGGTGGAGGGAAAACGCAGCTTTACACAATAATGCTGCATTTTAATAGAAACAATAAACTGATCTGCTTATAAAATATTATTTTCTCCGTATCCTGTTGTGTTGCCGCTCTGGGGACTTTTGACAGACATTATAAAAAAAACTAAAAAAAACTTTAAAAAAAACAACCTCCACCTCCTTCAAGCTTAAAGGTGCCAAAGCAGAAAGTGTGCGGAGCTCCTTGGGGAAGGATWTATCACATCTATTCTTTAGCTGCAGTGATTAATATCTTAGTAAAAAAAAGGGAGGAAAAAAGGTCAAACTTGACTTGAAACGGTCCGATGTATCACAGTTACATTGGAAAAGCGTTTGTTTCATACATCAATCCCTGCTGTGAAGTCCCATCAGCCTGGTCACACAGGAGGAGACCCACGCTGCAGATGATCAAAGACTTATGGGGGTGTCCTAGTTAAAGACAAGGGAGGAGAGAAGTTTGCGTCACCCTCAGCCGTTTTCGGCGGTGCTCGCTCTGAATCGTCTTATTTGACTGGAAACTAAAGAATTTTGAGTGACTTGAAGCTCAGGAGCGATAAATGCTTCCATCTCCTGCCATCCTCGTCCTCTTAACAGAAGATAAAACAAACCGACAGAACAAACAGCCGGCTCATCCCGAATCCCCTCCTGTTTTCTTTTTTCTGTCTAACACACAACCCAAACAACCCCGTATATTCACTGCTCGCTGTCATCCTACCCATTTCTTGTTCAGAGCGCTTGCTTAATAATTAATTGATTAATTAGTTCCTTCATTAATCATTTATTCATTAATCATGGCCTGGTTTTTCTGGAGGAAGCGGTGCAATTTGAAAAAAAGCCTGACTTCACATTTCACTCTAATTATGCTCTTTTTACTAATCAACGCTTAAGAGATGGAGTTTCAGGAAATTAGTTTTCTCCTTCCCCTCCGTTTCTCTGGCAGCAGAGAGCAGGATGTAYGGAGGTCAGCAGGTAAATTTGTTTTCCCCTCCCCATTTTATATGTTCTTTATAAGCATATTTTGCATGGGTTTTGTTGAAAGGAATTCAGATTTGATGCATTTGCAACTTCTGAGAGACTGTGGAAACAGATCAAGTCCTTTAATATTTAAAGGACATTCATCGGAGGAATGCATATCACCCATCGCCTTTGATACCAGAGCTGAGACAGGTCTGAGACAGTGGCGGATGTAGAAAATGTTACATGGGGGGGCAGGGGGGCATTGCTGGACCTATACATAAGAAGTCTCTTATATTTAAATTTTAAATTAATGTTAAATTTGAAGGTTGTAAGAGGCTTTTGGACTAACTAACTGTCGTGGACACGCTTATCAAAAAATGCAGAAACACCTTGAAATAAATGCACAGAAAAAAAAGTCCGCGTTTCTGGTCGTGAATTATTTAATTCTGGGCAACAATGAACAGAAAACAATCATGGAAGTCTGTCGAATTGARGCCACCGTCATCAGATGGCAAACCAATGACATAACCACATGTTAACACCATGTGACAGTTTACAACCAATCACAATCTGCCTCACGTTACTATCAGTCAATGACAAGCTCTCAGCTCAAAGAGTTAACATATCGCAACAAGAGAGGTCAGTCCGATGCTGGAGTCCTGACGTCTGGAACAAACAGATTAAGAGCCGACATAAGTTATCATAAGATATGAGCAGTGGACAGTGTCAAGGTGAAACAGAYATAAATAATTAGTCCATGACACCAACAATTAGCAATTACAAGTATTTTAGGGGCATGAAAGTGTGTGTGTGGTTGTGGGAGGGGGGTCAGGACTCTAAAGCAGTGGACAGTTTGTTGCCGTTTGGTCAAACCTTAAACCCAGCGTCAGTCCCAGTGGATGGGTACAGCTCATAAAATTCGAATACCTTTAAAAAAATTTCACTTTATTTTCATTCAATTCAGAAAGAGAAACTCATTTATTCCATATGTTTGATACAGATAGAGTGAAATATTTCAAGCTTTTATTTCTAGTAATTTTGATGATTATGGCTTACAAATAATGAAAAAAAAAATTGCCCCTAAAAAATTGTAACTTTTCAGA